TCTTTTACAGTAGTGTAATTATTAATACAAATATCATGTGCAAATGTCCAAGATACATGCTAGATATTCATTGTCATTGCTGTGAAGCTTTCAAATTTGATAATGTTCACATTCACTTTCTGCCACTTATATTTCAATAGCTTAGCACTAATTTGTCATTTCTTCCAATAAGCTACTACCTGACATTTACTCCATTCTAAATATCTGACTTCCAAGTTTTTCTCCATACTACCATTTCTTTCATGTTTTCATTGTACAACTTTCATTTTAAGGCACTAATTTTGTCATTTCTTCCAAAAAACAACTACCTGACATTTATTCCATTCTAAATATCTGACTTCCAACTTTTTCTCCATACTACCATTTCTTCCATGTTTCATTGTACAACTTTCATTTTAAGGCATTTCTGCTATCAACGTTTTAAACCTATTCAGATTCTACCATATTCCCCTAGTTCATTTGCCTAAATTTTGGCAATATCAACTACAACCACCTCTGCCACTACCTTTTAAAAGTCTATACATCCTATCAATTTTTCAAAAGTGCATTCATCAACGAATTGTCATATATTTGAACAACATAGTTTCTACCATATATGCCATTTAAAATTCCAAGCTTTAACCCTAATACCAATTTTTACATGTTGTTTTGATATGTTTCATTTTCAGGAATTTATTCCATCCAATTTTTGACACCCTTTTTACATTCTGCCATTTTCCTCTCTTTCATGTACAATATTGTAACCACTTATATGTACAATATGCCATTCTATTGCATGCATTTCATCGGCACAACAAATTTCACAATTTGTACTGAACACTAGGAACAAAATCTTCCAGATTTTCGTTCCAAAGTCATGTACATATGCCATTCTTTTCCATTATTTACTAACACATACAATTGCAACACAATACCGTCCGTAAACACATAAATTGATGTTCATAAGTACAACATACCAGTTTTGCTTTCTCCCGCTCTGTCTGTTGTCCTCGCGTCTGTTTCGGAACCTTGTCACCGGCCATCGTCGCGCTTCAACTGCTTGCCTTGTTTTCGTCTTCCAACTTTTTACGCTTCAGTTCTCGGAATCCATGTTGCACTTTCCGGATGGCAGAACGGGGTTGAGTAAATCGGGTGGTTGCCTTTGAAACTAGATTCCCGAGCCTTGCGCCGGAAAAATATATACTCCATAATAATTGCCGCGTCTCATTTCCCTATGTTTTCGCCCTCTCTCCTCGCAAGATTCTGGCCAGATTTTTCGAAAACTTCCATCGGCTGAATGTTCAATTAATTTAATGTCGAGGCTAAAATTGGAAGATCAACTGCTTTTTAATCCTATGAAACTTGACTCACAGAAGAAGTCCAATTTGTGCACATAAAAGTGCATTTAGTCCTACTTAGGTAAAAAACTCAAAGAAATAAAAGTATACACATATTAAAGTAGCAAATTCTATTACTACATAAAAGAATAATCCGTAATTGCATAAGTCCACTACAAAAATAAAAATAGTAATTAAGTTCAAGACATGATTTCGCAAACTAATGTCAACAAATAAGACAAAAAAATAGAATGAGACTAAGTTAAAATCATTATCTTTATATGTTCATCAAATAACACTCAATTTAAATTCATTATTTTCATCAAGATGACATGAGAAAAGTTGTGCGACTTCTACACGCGCTTATTATATATTGTTTGCGTGTAAAAGTTTATACTAAAAAATGTCAAGTTTAGAAAAAATTTAATTTTGACATGCTTGTTTGGTAAAACATCAGAAATCTAGTAGTATTTTAAGTTTTAGTCTTTTAGAATGCTAACTTTAGCCGCCATGCAATTAATGTTAATATTTAACAATTGTATTTTAACAATACAAAAACATGTGGACACATAGAGGAGCATTTCTTTTTTGCTCGTAAACTATTGTCGATCTTCTATTCATTTAATGCTTCATTTAATTGATGAATTCATGTTTTTATTTTTTGTAAAATACGGGATGCTAGATTTAGCCGTTATGCAATTAATTTTAGTTTTATTAATTGTATTGTAACAATACAAAAACACGAGCACATGGAGAGGAGTTTTTTTTGCTTTTATACTATTGTTGATCTCCTATGCATTTAATGCGTTCATTCAATTGATCGTGTTTCTATTTTTAGTAAAATATAGGAAACATACGTTTTATACGGGAGGTAGGAGTTTTTTTTCTTTTTAAACGGACCTACATTATTTTTCGTTTTGAACGTGTTTTTTTGTTCAAAAAAATGGTACGTGGTTAAAAAAACGCGTTTAAAACGGGAAAAAACTAACAAAATTTTACACACAGCTTAAGATAGTGACACTCCTTGGACATTGTTTCCGCACTGTTTTGAATTGTTTTATTTACTAAATAAGGAAAGAGGACATTTTAAGAGAGACCGAAAAAGAAAGTGAGATGTTTATTTAGGGACGATGAAGTATACTACACCAACCTTTACCAAATCTCAGACATTTTCATTTCGAGTCAATGAAGTCTCATTACAAACAACCTAAATCGGCTATTCAACGCGAAGAATATTTTTCAGAGGTCCCACCAAAATAAAATCTCATTTTTTAAAGTGCTATAGTTTTTTTTATTTGTAGTCCGATTGTTACAAAAAATATATACAAATTTACAACTTTTTATTATTTTTAATTGACACCAATATTCAACATATAAAAATATAAACAATTATTTAAAACGTTAAAAAACATCTATTTTTTATTTGTAATCCGATTTGTTACATAAAACATATGAAAATTCATAACTTTTTTATTATTTTTCACGTGATAGCAATACTGAATATATAAAAATGAAAAAATAATTTAACGCCTCAAAAAACATCTATTTTTTAAAGTGCAATAACTTTTTTATCTGTACTACGATTGTTACAAAAAAATGTATCAAAATTTATAACTTTTTATATATTTCGTATGACACTAATATTGAATACGGAGTATTTAAAAAAATAACATTTCAAATATCTGTTTTTTAAAGTGCTATAACTTTTTTATTTATACTCGGATTGTTACAAAAAAGATCAAAAATCATAACTTTTTATTATCTTGCACATGACACCAATTTCGCATATGTATAAAAATTAATTTTATTAATTTGCACAGTTTAGGATTGCTTTTTATCGTGCACACTATTAATCAAGAGTGACAACTTGAAATAAAATTGCACAAATTCTAGCGCAAAGAATAAAATATTAAATAAAAGTGATGAAGTTCGTGCAAATTTATTCTAAGCTATCACTCTGGATTAAGGAAAAATAATAATTATCTAAACATTTAAACGTGATTGAGTAAGTACCCCAAATTTGCATATGCAATATATATAACTCAAACCCTAAAAAGTTATAAATTATGATATATTTTTTGTAATCATTGGAGTACAAATAAAAAGTTATAGTACTTTAAAAACATGTTTTTGAAGTGTTAAAATATTTTTGCATCTTTATATATTCAATATTGGTGTCATATCAAAGATAATAAAAGGTTATGATTTTAATATATATTTTTTAACGACCGGAGTACAAATAAAAAATTTCTATCACTTTAAAAGATAAATGTTATTAAAAGTGTTAAATTATTTTTTATTTTTGTATATTCAATATTGGTTTCATTTGAAAGATACTAAAAATTACCACGTATGGATTTATATATTTTTGTAACAATCGAATTACAATAAAAAAAATTATACCACTTTAGAAAACATGCGATTTTATTTTAGTAGGACATGAAATAATATTGGCGACCTCAAATTCTTTTAGTATTAAAACTTGGATGTTGTTGTTGGTGTTGTTGAGGACATGAAATAATATCCATATCAAATCGGGAATACTTTATGATTGTTCCAGGATCCCAATATCCATGTCAAATCGGGAGTTCTTTAATTGAGACTTTAAGAATTGCTTTTAAGATAGGAAAAGGGGGCAAATAAGCTCACGTACTAATAAAAAAGTCAAATAAGCCCTTATATATGAGGCTCTGTCCGGCCGTCGTCATTTGGGGCAATTCCCGGTGGACTTTTTTGATGAACTTTTTTTAGAATCTTATTCATTAAGTCTAGTGTACTCATACCAAATTTCAACTAACAACTCAATGGGGAAGGCATTCAAATAAAATTTTGAAGATAACTGCGCTTTTAACTACATAGTTATCTTCAAGAATTCGAATGTCTTCCCGGTTGAAGTTTTAGCTGAAATTTGGTATGAGTAAACTAGAATTAATGAATTATATGCTCAAAAAATTGAATCAGAAAATTACATCGGGAACCGCCCCAAATGACGATGGCCAGACATAGTCTCCTATATAAGAGCTTATTTGATCTTTTTTTGTTAGTACGTGGGTTTATTTGTTCCTTTTTTCTTGATACTCCCTCCGTCCCACTGGACTTTGTCATCTTTCCTTTTATGTTATCTCAAAAAATTTTGCCACTTTCCCATTAAAGTAACTATTTTGTGGTTCTACTCATTTATCTCTTCTCTGCACAAATTTGAACCACACAATTTTTACTATTCTTATTTCTCACCTAACTTAAGGAGTGCAGAGTCCATTGGGACGGGGTAATATATACTACTCCCTCCGTCCCGAAAAAGTTGGCCAAAGTTGACTTTCACGTGGATTAATAAAGTAAAATCTGTGTGGTTGAAATGAGATATTACCCGAAATTAAACTAAAACAGTTTGAAAATTCTCAAATAGGACTGTAATGTTTTTATTCCCAAAATAGGACTAATTACTGTCATGTTTTGGCATTACCAGACTTCAAACATGGCCGTATTTTCTACAAATGACAGTAATTAGTCATATTTTGGGAATAAAAAACATGAAAGTCCTATTTTGAAATATTCAAACTGTTTTAGTCCTATTTTGGGAACTTTCCCTGATTGAAATTTGTGCAGAGGAGAGAGAATTAATTTTAGCCACATATTCCTTATTTTAACTGGAAATGATAAATCTTTTTGCGACATCTAAAAAAAGTAAATTCGACCGACCTTTTGAACGGAGGAAGTAGTATTATTGTTGTTTAAAACTTTTAATTAAGAATTGCTTAGAGTATGACATTGTATGGAGTATGAAACTCGTCTCTTTATCAGATAAATTGCCCAAATTTCGAAAACGATGCAATCTCTGATGCATTAAAATCCATCATCATTAGCCATTCTTCAATATCATGGTCTCCTAAAAATTCGCATATTCTTGTTTCATTCCTCGTACTCGCCGCTGACCACTCCTCGTCGCCTTGCTGCCGGGGATGAGATGATACTGAAGAAGCGCTTGAGCTGCTCTGCTCCGGCGGCGTGCTTGGAGCGGTGTAATCGGAGAAGGAGAAGTTGAGCTTTGCTCTCGGGCCTCTGAACTCAATGGCGGCTCTGTCGTAGGCTCGGGCGGCCTCTTCCGCGGTTCGGAACGTCCCGAGCCAAACCCTCGCCGCCTTCCGAGGATCCCGAATCTCCGCCGCCCACTTTCCCCACTGCCTCTGCCTCACTCCCCTGTAACTCTTCTTCTTCTTCTTATTATTATTATTATTCGTTGATTTCGTTCCCGCCTTTTTCTTCCTCTTTTCACCTCCGCTGATCTCAGACGCCCCGGAGAAGTTGCACCCCAGACAACACTTATTCTCGCAGAACTGACACGTGTCTCGTTCTGGAACATGGAACTCCGGCGGAACAACGACAGGACAGGACACCATTGCCGGCGCCGGCGGTGCGCTTCCACCTATGACACTCTTGAGGGTGGAGACCATGACGGAATCCATCTTATCTCCGGTAAGACTCGCTGGTGGCGCGTGGGTTGTAAAGAATCCCTGGGTTTGTTTAAGCCTTTCGAAGCTCTGTTTTTGGCCGGTACGGTAGTGATATAGGCTAATACGATAGTATATAAATGGGACGAGATGTGTTTTACACGCGGGGTGACCTGTCAGCCGGAAAGGTTTGACTATATTCAAAAGTCTCTGACTTCTAGGATGAGGTGGTAAGACAGATTGGATAGACTGTCAGGTGCCACGTGGAAGCATTTGGAGAGCTGACGTCAACATCGCATCGCGTTCACACGGTTATGGTTATAAGTGGAGCGTTAGATGTGACACGTGGAGGGTAGACCTCTTTTACGCGGCTGTCCTAAACTTAATTAATGGTGAACTTAGTTTTTCATCTTTCTTGCAAGAAGCCAAGAACAACCAAAACGAATGTCAAAAAGGAGATATTGGTGATTATTAGTACTCCTCCTTCCGTCCCAATTTTATTTACAAAATTTCCTATTTTAGTTGTCCCAAAATAATTTTTCACTTTCTATTTTAGATATGTAGATAAGAATAAAGTGACAAATTTACCTTTACTTTTACTTTTTTTCCATTAACTTAAAAACATTTTTTAGGAAGATGGACAAAAGTGTAAAAAACCAAACATCATTTATTGTTATGTCTTAATCCTTGTGTCTGTCAAAGTTTGCAATTCAATTCGGGACGGAGAGAGTAATATATAAAATTGCTTAGGATCAGTAGGTTATCATAATCCAAAAATAGGAACTCTTTTGGATTATTCTATTTATATAATTAAAAAATGGGGTAAATTTCATAGATAGTATTTCCTAATGGGTGGTAGTGTTTGTGATTGTTCTATTTTAAAATGTCATTTTCAAATTGATTTTTAAGAAATATTTAATATTAAATACTTGTATACTAAGAAAAAAGTAAATTTAAAAAATAAAAAATTGATAATGTTTCGATAAAAAATACTTTTTACATTACAAAAAAGTGAAAAACAATTTCAAATTAAACACACTTCCATATCCTTCCATCATTTAATTTTGAAGTCTAATTTAGGTAGACTTATATTAGAAACATTAGTCCCACCCTTTTAGGCAAAAAACAGAAACAAAAAAAACATTATTTTATCCTTTGCAAATACACCCTAATAGATAAAGCTTTTGTCTTTCATTGGAGTATGCAACTCCATCCTAATTGCTTCTAAGTTGCAGAACTAAGTATACAGCTCTATCTTTTTCATTATACCCTATATTTGAATTTCATTATACTCAGATTTTAATATGTGCAACAGTGCGAGGCTCGAATCGATAATCTAGAATCGGGTCAATTCAAATAATTTTAATAAGTTTAATGCACCAAATCCCCTCATGAAATATAAATTCGGCGTATTATCTTATGTGATTTAAAAAATGCGTCAAACCCTTCTGTGTTATAATTATTCATGCGCAAAACCCTCTCTTTGAAAAATTTTACAATTTTGAAATCACTTTTTAAATAATATGGTTGAATGTGTAAGTAACTTTGTCAAAATTTCTAAATTATTCAAAAAACTAATCGTTTTTCTTTTTTTTAGAAATTAAATGTGTTTTTGGAGGGGGTTTGGCGCATGATTAATTATAACACAGGGGGGTTTGATGCATTTTTTAAATCATAGGGGACTAATGCGCCGAATTTATATGTTTCACGGGCGGGGGAGTTTGGTGCATTAAACTCGTTGAAATTACGGGCTTAAAATAGTTCACCATTTGATATGTATTTGTCTTTATTTCACCAAACAAAAAAGATAAATTCAACTCTTTAGGTTGTAACATCTAAAATTTCAATAGATTCAATTACTTCATTTTTTAAAATAACCATAATGCTCGATTATTTAGAGGGGGAATATCGTATTTTTCTCAAAATTTCACACTTTTTACTTTTATTTGAGATATCCAAAAAAATATTGATGTGTGTATGCTTTTGTCCAATAACAGTAGGGTTATAAGTTACCACTTACCTGAATTAAGGCTGGACCTCTGGTGCGCACGGGAAAAAGGCCTACCATCATTGGGCCGACTGAGTCACCGTGATTAACATCCTCCCAAAAATTCTGTCGGGTCGGGGTATGGGGGCTCCTGGGGTGGGAGATTCCACCTTTTGGACCAAATAAGTTACCACTTACCATAATGTTCGGTGAAAACGGAAAACCCCAGCTTAGACTCGTGCAGTGTTTTTTGTTGCTCATGTGATTAGTGAGATTAAAATAAAGTAAAGGGTCAAATAGGCCTTATGTATCGGTCTTGGAAGCTCAATTCAGTTCCTGAATTAAAAAATGTCCAATTCTCACCTCGAACCGGCAAAAAATGATTCAAATTTCATTTTTTAAGATTAAACAATCGATAAAAAAGGTCTAATTAGCACCCTTAAACTATTAAAAAACGTCAAAAATGGCAATAAATTGAATATAAAAACAGAAACACTAATAATATTTAAAAAATGACCAGTCGTTTACTCGTAAAAAATGAAATTTGAATCATTTTTTGTCGGTTGTTTACACGACCGGTTTAGGGACCTCACCCTTTAACTTAAAATAAATGTCACGTGTTTTAGATCTCTAGTGCAAAACAGATAACGTACACAATGTGGGGAATCTCATTCATAGGCCAATTGGTCCACCTTAAACGTGATCTATTCATGAATGTCCCTGTCTTGTTCCTAAAGCCAAAAGGCAATGCTTTGGCTATAAAGCTCACATAAAAACGTTGTTAACATGTTTAATAAATGGCCATAGCGTGTATTCTCTCTATTCTCTCTATCTCAGTTTAAGTTTTTCACTTTTCCTTTTCAAACATCCCAAGTTCTCACTTCTATTTAAAAAAATAACACTCTTAAATGATATTTAATCATCAAATATTAAAAATAGGAGTAATAAATTTATCACATCACAGTTATCATCAATTAATGACTTCATAAAAAAATTGTTGAATCACTTTTTCTAACTATTGTCTAAACAATTATGTCGTTTGGTCACGGAAACTATGGGCCTGAACAGAAATAGGGGTATTTAAATAGTTTGTAGTTTGTATGTTAATGGGTCAGGTCAGGTCAGGAACAGCCTACGTATTCAGTGGCGGACCCAGAGATTTTCTGAAGCGGGGCACTGTCGCATTGATGAAATGGGTCAGGTCAGGTCGAGTGCATCACTGGTCAATTCTATTTAGTTCGTTCAAATTATTATTTTAACCAGAAATAGATTATTCAATGTCGTTTTCAAGCAATAGACATCTATGGATTATAGATATACTTTTGAATCCCTGGTAGCAAGAGAGTGCCACAAGGGTTAGGTCCCGGGTTCGAATCCCGTCAACTGCGATGAGGGGTTACTATGTTAAAAATGCATAGGGCTTCTGCAAGTACCGGGGACAAACCCCCACTCTCTATCTGTCAGATTGGGATTATAGTCCAATTTACATCTTCCTAACGTCCTGTTCGGTCAGGGTTGGGGCCCCCTCAGGGATGGGGTGTCATCATTTTTAACTCATTAAGATCATTCTAAACAATGTTACTCCCTCCGTCCCATAATTAATTTCGGTTTTGACTGGGCACGTGGATTAAGATAGTAGGATTTGTGTGGTGGAGTGTTGTGCATATGAGAGAGAAATGTGTAAGAATGGTTGTGAACCACATATTCTTTAACAAAAAGGGAAAGAGGAGATAAATTTGGGACGAACCGAAAAAGAAAGAATGAAGATAATTTTGGGACAGAGGGAGTATTAGACTTTCTGAAAGAAAGTCATAATTTGAATTATATGTGAATCACCCTTGCACCGTTTGTGATTTTGCATTAACATTCTTTATATTTTTCATACTATAAAATGGTCAAAATTTTAGTTATGAACTGGATCATGTCGAATTTTACACATTGTGCCAAAAAAATTGTTGAACTTGCTTGAAATATAATATTATCATGTTAAAAATGATGTATATAATTTAACTCGATTATTCCATGGCCTTCAATATAACTTTACTTAATAATATGATTTTATATATCTAACTTTGTCATTTTGCAGTATAAAAAATCAAAGGGTCTATCGGGCTGACACTAATTTATCATGAATCGACACATTTTTTCACGTATCTATTTCTATTCAAGAGAAAAGTCTTCTATTCATGAAATTCATCCGACATGTTAGAAGAAGTGTTGTCACAAAAGAACTTTAACATCTATGGGTCACAAATGAAGTTCAACCCAGGCTCGTACTCATTTCATTAGAGCCCTAACAAGTTAGATAATTTTCATGAATCACAATGTAGCTCTAAACCAGCATTTTGTAACCACACAATATGATAATCTTGTACCAAGAGTTGTGGTTTTGCATTGTCCCTACCAATTGAAGTTATTATACCTATACAAGTATACAACTAACGATATGCATAGAAAAGAGAAAACACCCATGGTTTAATTAGAGAAATGTAATGAATTAAGGTTCATCATCCTCCCTCTCCCTTCTAACAGCACCAAAGTGCTCTACTAAAAGCTCAACAATTACAGGCACTAAATCTTCACAGGGAACACCCTTCATATACACATCTCCCAAATGTGACTCACTCCCAATTCTCCCTCCCATGTAAACATCCACACCCTCCACGGTCTTCCCCTCCTTATTTCTCGTCATGCATCCCATGAATCCAATATCCGCAACTTGAACTTGCCCACAGCTGTTTGGGCAGCCCGTCCAGTGCATCCGGACGGGCTGGCTGACCGAGACTTGTTCCTCAACCTCCTGAGTTATCTTCACAGCCCGCCCTTTGGTCTCTATTATGGCTTGCCCACAAAACTGGTTCCCAGTGCAAGCCACCAACCCCTTCATTAGAATAGGAGGATTGGGTGAGAATCTGTCGCTATGAAGAAGAGGCTCTTTTAGCAGTGCCTTAATATTGGAGTTCTCAATGTTTGGGATTATGATGTTTTGCTCGACTGTGAGCCGAAGTTCACCCGACCCGTAGTCATCGGATAAACGGGCAAGCTCATCCATTTCATCCGCTTGAATCCGTCCTACCGGGATGTGGAGCCCAACAAAGCTATAGCCTTTCTGCTTCTGTGGAT